CCCCAAAACCCCAAAACCCCAAAACCCCTTTATTTTTTGTTTAAATTGAATACTTAAGGAATTTGAATTCAAACTTTAAGGATGATAAAGTTTGGAGAAATTTCATAGGTCCTTAGCAGTAGTTTATTACTATTGGCATTACAATGGCCTCACTGGAATCATGCACAAACAATATGGTTATAATGGTAAGGTGTCTGGTGTTCACCCACATAGACAAACAGAGGATTCCTTCAGAAGACCTTTTCAACTCAGTTGTCTCTGGAATGTTTGCACTTGGAGCCATTCCTGGATCCATACTGGCAACTCCAATAATGAAGAAAGGCAGAAGACTCACTCTCATCATGGCAAGCCTCATCACTGTGTTGGGCTCAACCCTCGTGATAATTTTCAATATTTGGAGCCTCTTCTTCGGACGATTCGAGATGGGAGTTGCTGTTGGAAACTATTATTCTGTGTGTCCGCTTTACATCTCGGAGATGAGTTTTCCGTCAATTTCAGGAAGCCTCGGGAGTCTGAACCAGATGAGTCTTTCCACTGGACTTCGGATATCGTTTGGATTAGCATACATTTTACCTTATTCACATGAGCCAGAAACACTAACAACTGGGTTGTGGAAAGTAGTAGTTACTTGAATTCTAATTATTTTTGATTTTTTCAAAATTTGTGTTGTACACACTCAAATCCTATTTGAGACATTTCATACTATAAAAAAACCACATAGTATATAAAATTGAGCTCTAATTCAGCTAATTCTTGTATAAAATTTTTAACTTGAAAAATTTGGAACATTTCATTGCTAAACTAATACAGACTAAGAAGATTTCACCAATAATAACAAATTAATCTCACAATAAGGCTAATCCACAAAAATTTCCCCAATACAATCATGAGGCAAAGAATAAAAAGTCAATGGAGCATTATCTTTCACAAAATCCTGCCTAAAAAGACCTTCTTATCTTTAACAAACTCCAAATTCACTACTTAAAAATAAGGAAAAACTCAGTTTACTAGTAGAAGACAATTAAGCTCTAATCCTTGTTAAAAATTGTACTTTATCATCAATAAACTTCTATAGTAAATAACAAAAGTTTAAATGCAAAAGAAAATATCATATTCCAATTTTGATTCTCCTTTGAGTTAGGAATTAAATTTAGACCATCAATTTTATTGATAAAAAATTGATGGGAAATTTAGCTAGTTAACTAGAAATAGCAATAACTTTAATTCTAAGAAATACTTTTGTGCATGAACTTAAGCATTGGAGTCATTTTCATGGAAATGCCCTACTCCTTTGCTAATGATTTCAGAATTAGTCTGGCCCTATGAATCTATAGTTCTGATGTCTTCAATATCTATTGAATATCAGTGGTTTCGATGACCAACATGGTGATGATTTGCATCTTCTCTACATTTTCAAATCAGATGTTCAAGCACTTCACGGCGCCAGGATTATTCTTCGGACTAGAATCTATCCAGTTCTCCTGTATTATGTTCATTTTAAGACTTATCAGAGAGTTAAATCGAAGACAAAGAAAGCACAAAGATCCTTAAAAATCCATCTCAATAGCCCTATTTCCCCTTTTACACCCCACAACCCCTTCAACACTACCTCATCTCCTTGGGGTTTTGGGGTTTTGGGGTTTTGGGG